TGAGTCTTTAATCGATTTTTTTGGGTTTGTATTTTACCCTGTTAAAAAAAAAAGGGTTTAAAGGTTTGTTTTCAATCTATTTTAGGGTTTTTTTTTTGGGGGGTTTCTTTCTACCTTTTTTTTAATTAAAATTTTGGGGTTATAGGGTTTGTTTTCAATTAGTATTTTAGGGAATTTTTTTTTAATTTTTTATATTTGTTTTCTACTCTTACTTTTACTAAAATTTTGGGTCTATTTCAATTAGTGTTTTTGGGAATTTATTTGGTTTATTTTCTACTCTTTCTTTTTCTAAAATTTCGGTTTAGGTGGTTTTTTTGGGTTTATTTTCTACTCTTTTATTTACTAAAATTTTGATGTTGTAATGTAAGCTTGTTATGTAGATGCCTTCTGATATTCATGAATTTTGTGATTATTTTTTTGTATTTAGGACAATGGTTGAACCCATGCTTCATGACATACTAGTACACTTTAATGGTTCTATAAGTATGAGTCTGCTCAAAGAGGAATTGGTACTGTGGTTGAAAGGAGCACTATTGAAAGGTTCACAGCTGCTAAGAGGAGCACTGTTGATGTAAGTATGAATGACAAATAATTATGTTATTTTATTTTATTTTTTCACATGGAATTTGAGGCCAACTAATCCACTTCATTTTTTAGGATCAAGGACAAGATGGGGGTGCTTCCAACTCAGTGGAGCATGACTTGAACCATAGGTATACATGTAATTGCATCATTCATAACACTTAAAATATATTCATTTGTGTTTATTAATTTGTTGTTCTTTGTTTTTTTATTTTTCAGGTGATGGTTTTTGTCCAGGAATTGCTTTTTGTATAGGGGATGCTGGAAGGAACTAAAGACTAGGGTATACCTTTTTGTGTAATTAGTGGGTATACTTTTCTAACAATGTCTTCATATTAGTACATATCAGAAGGCATGCATCCTTGCTCACCACAGGTTTTGAATTGGGTGGGCTACTACTCTTTTATTGACTTGCCAAGTTTTTGTTGGACAAGAATTTGTATCTGAATATGTAATGTAATTAAGTAAATATTTCAAACTTGTATTTTGGTGGACATGAATATTTCAGACTTGTAATTAATTTTGTTGGACATGAATATGTAATTAAGTTAGTATTTCAGACTTGTGTATCTGAATTTTTAAGCTAATATTTCAATTTCAAGCTACTTGAGTGCTCTTTTTTCATTCCTTCCATGTTGAAAAGGATTCCATGGTATTTATTTATTACCCAAAACATAACTATTCAACCCAAAAAAAACTCAAAAAATAACAAATTAACTGAATAAGTTGCGAATACAAAATTAATTAATTTAATAATTTATGGAATGCAAAATTAAAATGGAGAAACATTTATCAGATGTTAAAAATGTCGTAAAATTAACAAATAATGAAATAAATTACTAACGTATGAAATGATTTATCAAAAAAAAAATAGGCTATGTATAGTTTGATTTTTAGAAATTTGTTTTCGAAATTTTTTTTAAAAAATAAAAATTAATTTGGTTATGAAATAAAAAATAAAAAATAATTATCATTTTTATATAATTTTATGTTTAGAGTTGTTAGAAATAATTTTTTACAAATTAAATATATTTCTTTATATTTATTTTTATTAGATTAGTTTTTATTTTTATTTTTATAAAAAGTTTGAATTTCTTTTTAAACAGCAAACCAAATGGTTGTGTTCAACGAAAATAAAATAAAAAATAAAAAATAAAAAATAAAAAGTTCTTTGTGCTTTGGTACAGGTTGTCTGGTTGTGTTTAAAAATTAATAAATAAATAAAGGGGGTTTTTTGGCACTTTGAAAGGTCCTAGGGGCAATATGGTCCATCAACATAAATTTTGGTGATGTCAGCACACTTTTGTAACGGCTTAGTTGACGGCAGGGGTTCAATTGTTACGCGAATATAAACCTCAGGGGGCGTGATGTAATTTCCAAAACTTCAAGGGGTATCTATAATTTAACCAAACCTCAAGGGAGGCATATGTAATTTGTCCTAAATAGAACACTACAAATGAAAATCTCTTGCTCCCACCACTCTCCGTTACACGATCAAAACAAAAATATATCCAAAATATGAAACCTATATATATATATATCCAGAATAATACTTTCTAGGTGTTTATTCAATATTGGACCATCAATGACAGTCATATCCATTTTATTAAATTATTCAGTAATTCTTTTTGGCTACCGTCTTACCCTAGCCAATCTTAGTATCGGTATTTTTTTTATGGATTGCCATTTTGAACATTGATCCTGTTGGACTTTTTATGTCGGAATATGGATCAAATAATAAAAATTCCTTTTTAGATGGTGTACAAGCTGTTGCTCAATCAATTAGTTATGAAAGACCATTGACTTTATGTATGTTATCAATGTCTAGACGTATGATTTGTTGAATCATAAACTTGCTCTTCTTTTCTTTTTTCTAGGAAAGAAGCTAAATGAATTGATGAACTAAACCAAATGGTTCTATGTAGGGGTGCAACTCGGGCGGGTTCGGTCGGGTTGGGAGGTTGTCCAAGCCCAACCCAAGTTGTGCTGAGACCTGCCCAAGCCCTAATTGTAACCCGAGGTTGTCTGCCCAAGCCCGACCTGAATTAAACCCGAATTGCCCGAGTTGCCCGAATTGTAAATGAATTTAATTTTTTTTTTTGCAGCTACATTATTAAATTATTCAAATTTGACTCTATTTACAATTTTTTTTAATAGAAAATCATTAATACCATCAAAACAAATAATTTATATAATATAAGAGAGATGCCACAATAGTAATCCTTACAATTTATGAGTGAAAATAAAAAGAAAAAAAGTAAGATTTTATGTTATTTGTATATATAATATATATTCAATATAATTTAATAATATAAATTACTTTAATATCATGTAATGGCTAATAATTTATATGTATATTTAATATTTTTATATATCTATATATGTATAATTCGGGCTTCAGGTTGCTCGGGTTGTTCGACGTCTTTGCCCAAATTTAATTCGGGCTTCTAAATTTTTGTCCAAGCCCGTACCGAATTTAAAAATATTTTGTCCAAGCCCTAAAAAAATTCGGGCTGGGCTCGAGTTGCTCGGGTTGAGCCCGCCCAAGTTGCACCCCTAGTTCTATGAGTGAAAGAAAACAACTTATAAATTGAATTGAGTATATTTAAAATGTGAAAAATTAGTTTAAAATATTAAAAAAAAATTACTAAAAAATATATAAACAAAAAAAATTCAATTTCCAATAAATTAAGAGCCACTTTTTCATAAATCTCTTTTCACCTACTTATATTCCATTTAGTCCACATTATGTTCTTATATTCCAATAAGTCTTATGAGTGACATAATTATCAAAATATCCCTAATAATATTCACATTTACAGTGTGAATGTTTCGTGATGTGAATGTTTACACCGTCAATATGAATGCTAACATGTTAATGTGAACATTCACACATCAATGTGAATATTTATATTGTAAAATATGAATGTTCACATCACCAAATTGCTAACCGTTCAAAAAATATTTGTAAGAGTAAAAATGTCCATAAAATACTTTAAATATAAGAATTATGATTTGATAAATCAAATGTTCAAATAATAAGACTTATTGAAATATAAAAATACCTTATAAACTAATTAAAATACAAACACAAAAAAAAAATTTCTAATAAACCTCTCATAAATTAAATTAAAAAAATTATAACCAGATGCATTTAACTATAACATGACCCCACGCACAACCCACGTGGGGGTCAACTAGTCTATTGAGAAAAAAGATGAAACGAATGAGTAGAATCAACCAATTGGATTTGCCTACTAGTCTATTGAGAAAAAGATGAAATTGAATGAGTAGTCTCACGTAAAGTTTGGGTACTTGTAAAAAAGTCAAAAAATCAAAAAGTTACTCAAAAAGTTAAAAAGTTAACACTATTTACTAAAAGTCAACAATTACGGCTGCACAATTTTCAATTCAAATTTTTTTCTACAAATCAATTTTTACAATTTTTTATTACACATTTTTTCATAAAAAGTCAAAAAGTTAACCCAAACATCCATATTTTCAAACTCAATTTTTTAGTCTAAAAAGACAAAAAGTACACTTATTTATGACACCCAAACAACCCCTCAACCAATTAGATTTCTTCATGCATCCTTAATTCGTCTTCCATCCAATTATTTATATTTGATTTTCACGTGTGCGAATGCCTTTTATTGGCCATATAACGCAAACACCCCCACCTTTTCATGACACGTTGCAGCCCCTGAGAAAGGAGTTTTGACATCTTTAAATAACTTCCTCTTTACTAATTGCAAATCAGGTCCAAATCTTCATTTTAATTGCAGAATTATTTTATAAAAAGTAAAATTAAATCATTAAACTCACAACTAAAAATAAAATAGAAAATTAATTTATTAAAAGTGTTAGTGATTAAAAAGAATTTAATAATTGTACACTTTAAATTATTCATTACATTCCGAACAAACTTATAGCTAGTACCGAGCAATCAAGGTGATTACAAAAATATAATTTTCAATAAATAAAAAAAAAAGAAAATTATCTAAATTAGTTTTCCGAAAAATAATTTTAAAATAAACCCAATAAATATAATATTAATCTTAAATTTAATTTGATTTTTTAATTTGATTAATTTGATTAATCTAAATTATTGATTAATTTAATTTTTTATAAATATAATATACTTAATAAATCTTAAATATAAACGGTTTGAATTATCTAAGGCCAAGTTTGGCTACAAAGAAAAAAGTGCACTTATTTCTTCTTTTTATCTTTTTTGGGTCACATCAATCAACATCTCCTCTCTACTTTTTCTACACATAATATAAAAAAAGTCAAAAATTACACTTATTTAGTCTTTCCAAACTAGGCCTAAGTTAGATCCAAAAATAAACCCAATAAACCAACAAAGTAGAGAGTCAATGAGAAAAAAATAAGGAGAGATCCTGATTCAGTGAGGCTATCTGTCCCTTTATGTATTCATCTCTGCCAAGCCCGACCCGTGATGCCTAACACAGACAGAGACTATAAATACCACGAACATTTTCAATCTCAGGAGCTTCACATAGCGTTTTAAGAGATTCTCAGAGCAAACGCACAGATTCTCCTCCCAACTGCACAGATTCTCGGACACAGAGAAATGGCAAAGAGCACAGACTCTCCTCCCAACTGCAAGAAATACGGAGTTCCTATCTACGGAACTTCGTGGGTCCCACCGAACGCACTCAGATCTGCCCCCAACCCTACTACCGCCGACGCCGATGATGAACCCTCCGTCGAGCCATCCCCGCCGTCGATCGCCCCTCAAAACTACCTCGTCTTTGCCGGAGGCGGTGGCGAAGGCCGTAGCGGCATCCCCAACGCTCTCCTCCTCTCCCACTTTGATTCCGCCTCTAATTCCCTCTCCGATCACCCTGTGAGCCCCCCAAATTACTCTTTTCATGATTTATGTATAAATGGATTTTTTTAATAGAGATTTTTGACTTGAATATTGGTACATATTCAACTACTCAACTTGATTACCTTCATTTACGCTGTGTTGGGTTTGATTAGGGGATTTGGGAAAGGATTTGAAAAGGGAAAGATAAATTGTGTGTGAAACCAGGTGAAATAGAGTATATTTTATTTAAATTTCACTTCCCTTTTCCCGTTTTCAAATGCCTTCCCAAATCTCCCAGAGATCAAAATAGTGAAATGTTTTTAATAATGCGTATTACACCAAGAATTGACATGGGGATGCTTTTTCTAGTGCCAAAAAACATGTAGTTTTCTACATTTTGTGCTTGAATATTTGCATTACAAACATCAATGTTATGTGCGTCAAGATTTATCTTCGTCTATATTTAGTTTTTAAATTAATTATACTTTTGGTACATGAGATGGTGGTGTTACATATCCGATAACATTAACATTCTGTTTGGATTGAGGGATTTGGTAGAAAAGAAAGGGAGAGAACGAGATTTCTTATCACTTGTTTGGAATGATTAAAGATGTGGGAAATGGTAAGAAAGAAGATAAATGATGAGAAAGAAAAATCCTTCATAACTTTTTTGTTTCTCACCAAAAGTGGTGAGATTTTGTGAGAAACCAAAATTACTCTTTACAACAACAATTACAATACAAGGAAAATTAACCAAAGTGGTCTATAGACCCTCCTACTGATTCATCATGGACTACAAGGAAAATTTTCAAGCTCAGAGAGATTGGACAGCCATTTATTAAGCACAAAATAGGTAATGGAAGATCTACTATTTTATGGCTTGACAATTGGCATCCTATAGGCTGTCTCTATCAACAGTTTGGGGATAGCATTGTACAAAACATTGGCAGAGCTCTGGATGCTAAGGTTGCTGAAATAGTGAATGTTGATGGATGGCAATGGCCTAGAATGAGGAATAGAGCTGTTCGACAAGTTATGACCTTAACTCCTCAAATCTTTTGCCTAATCTAACAAGAAATGATGAGATTGTATGACTGCCTTCAATTAGTGGTACCTATTCCTATAAGTCTGCTTGAGAGGCCCTTAGATCAGTGAAGGTGGAAGTTGCTTGGTGTCATATAGTTTGGTTTACAGGGTATGTTCCTAAATGGGCATTTATCCATTGGCTTATCTGCTGGTAGAAGTTAGCAACTAAAGATAGACTATTAAAATGGGGCATGCAGGTTGATCCTAAATGCAGTCTATGTAGTATTGTGGATGAGAGCCATGAACATCTTTTCTTCTAATTTCTAATGTACCAAAAAAAATATTTATATATATTTTTTTCTTCCTCTGTCCCTTTTTCAAACAACTTTGGAGTAAAATGCTTCGAGTGAGTCGTATTAATATAGATCCTATGGGCTGGTCGGGGGAGCTTCAATGGGCTATCTCTCAAGGAAATAGTAGGAATTTGAGTACTGTCATAACCAAACTTTCTCTATTTTGTTCTCAGACATGGTTAGAAAGGAAAAACAGAGTCTTCAAGCTGAAAGCTAGACACCAGGATCTAATTCTGCATGAAATAATGAGGGATATACGAACTAGGGCCTATTCTCTAAAGGAGATTAAAAGTAATATGCAGAATTGGGAAGTTATATAACGGTTCGGGATCCCTTCCTCTATCCTGCAAAGCTAAAATAATCTTTGTTTTTGTTTTTTTCCTTGTTGGTTTTGTTTTAGTTTTCTATGTTCATGTCTTGTAAGGTTTTCTTAATTTGTTTTTTTCTCTTTTTTGTTTTGCTTTGTTAACGGCTTGTAAGTTGTAGCCTGCGCTGTTCATTTTTTTGTTTTTGAGGGGTATGTCTCTGTAGCAGTTTGTTTTTGCAGCTTCGCTAGTGAAATAAAATCATAATTTACCATAAATAAATAAATTATAATACCTAAATTATCCCTCTAAATACAAATAAAATAAAATAAAATAAAAAAACCGTAGTGTCCTTTTTTATTCGTTGTTCATCCAAACAAGAATGTGAGAAATTACAATCATTTCTTTTCTCTTCTCACCTAAGAAACTACAATCATTTCATTTCTTTATCCAAATAGAGTGTAAATATTTCAATGTTGTATATTTTTTAAAACTTTTTACAAATCATGTGTGTCCAACTACTAGTATATATATACATATGGTGCCTATATGGATTTGTTGGGTCATTGCGGGAATTTCTATGTGTTTTGGCTAAAATAATCTATTCACAGTGAATAAATCTGATTAAATCATTTATTTCTCCAGTTATTTATATTAGTGTTTAATTTCAAACCTTTTGTTGGCTTTTTAGCATGAGAGTCTTAATAGGAATTATGTACTATGGCATTGGTTTTGTTTCAGCTAATATGAGCCTTTCTTTTTCTAATTCTATTATTAGTATTAGTATTAGTATCAGTATTAGGGAATGCATAGAATAATGAACGTGTTACTAGCAATTTTGATGGGCATCTGTGATAGGATCTTGTATTCCAATTCAGCATTCTTGATCAAAGTACCCTTAGCTAGCATTTGGATTTTAATTTTAAAAGAAGAGGTTGTAAAAAGTCCACCCCTTACCATGATACAATTGGACTTGATAAACAAAAGTTGGCTTGGATTTATAGGCATCATTTGGCTACAATTTTTAAGGATTTTTATTTTCTTCAAGCAAAATTTGCTTTCATTCTTTGCAAGTTTTCTCCAAGAACTTAAAGAGTAATTTTTGAAGCACCCAGTGCTACCAAAAGAAAAAAATTGTCATGATTTTTATTTTTATTTTTATTTTTGTGCCGAGAGCATGGGGTTCAGGACGTAGTCAGGCAGATTCCAATGGTCAATGTCCAGTGTGTCACCTGTATTTCTAGGAAACATTTGTGATACGACACCAATCTACCCCGAATCAAGTTGACAATTATTTAACCACCACTTCTTCTGGCTTGATTCTTTGTTGAAAATTCTGTTATCCTTTCAAGCCAGAATTATATAAACAGGCCAACATACCGGACAAAATTTGATGATTATGGATCTTAAATGATCTTCTCTTCAGTCTCTCTAAGTAGCAAAGGGACTATTACATTTTTGGTTCTTCTTCTGGAGGTATGTTGAATTGGTTCTTCCATGACCGGGCAACTTTGTCACAAATCTCTCTAATGGATTTCTGCCCTTATCAACCCTTATGTCTTGTGTGGACAATTTCGGCTGGGATAGGTTTATGCTTGCTAACTTGTCCTCATTATATGCACACAACGAGGCCACAATTCAATACTGCATACAATTATAGGTATTAGGTTAGTTTTAAAGAAAGCATTCAAATCATAATTATAGTTATTTATAGAATGTTGTTAGAAACTTTACGAATAAACTGTCGGTTGTTGTGGAGCATTGTTAACATACTCAAAGTTGTAATTTGTGTTTTGTGAAGTTTATCAATTCGAAAAAGGGTGTGGTGATTGTTGGCTCTCTTTCAAGGCAAGCTTTGCAAAAAAAATTTCTCCACATAATCTTGCTGCTGAACAAATAATTTTTTAAGTACAGAGAACTTTTGTAGGAAAAAAAAGTACGCGGGAACCAAAGGCCCAATAAAATTGGGGGTAAAAAAAAAAATAATTCCCTTTTTAAATGAAAAAAAAAAAAAAAAAATAGATTCATCCACATAACATTAATGATGGGATCAGAGGAATTGGCACTCGATTTGTTTTGTGCATCTTTGACATATTTGTCTTCTGCAGCATTCCTCCCTTGGCCTAGTGAGTTTGGTAGAACCTTCATCAAATTGTCCTTGTTTGTCGGGACAAGCAAGTGATTTCCATGTGTTGACTTTCTTATTACCCCAGACCGCAATATTTTATTGGAAAATAGAGGAATCTGTAGTTCCTCCATGCTGTTTCAATAGGCTTGTCAAATAATCGAGACTCGAATAAGTTTGTTTTCGCATCAATTTTGATTTGAAATTTCTGTGGTCAGAGAAAATCAAAAAATGTTATGTTATGGAAGTTGAATGGCAGGATTTAAGAAATATACAAGATAGAGAAATATTTTAAATGCATCAAACTAGCCAGATGAAAATTAGACTCATGCACAACTGGCTTCGCCAGAAGTA